TGGGATCCGGGTTAAAGCTTAGCGGAATCCATCACGTATCACTATGCTGGCATGGCAGCGTTCTTGGACCTATGTATTCGATTAGCGAGCGTTAATCAACGTCTGAACTTCGACTTAGCCTCAAGCCCGACATTCTCAGCCCCTGCAAACTCTATCTGCCTCTCCCGGCAGCTCGCTGCCCGTTGCAATGGCACCCAAACGCAGCAGTTGAACGATGTCCTCTGCATGACCGAACCCACCGGCGTAGTGGTAACTTCATTGCATAAACACCGTCTGGGTAGAGGGGCGCAAACTCACTGCGACGGTGAAGTATATGCAGCCACAACAGTATGGAAAGGTGGGGTGTTGCAGTTTGGCTTCACGGTGCCAGCCTTATTGGAATACTACCTGCGTTTTAGCGAGCCAGCATTTGGAACTGCTAAGCTGCATGGCTTCAGGGCGGCGCAGCCTAGTATAGGGGCCTTAGTATTTAGAATACGCTTCTGGGATATAGTATAGTATCCTTATAACGATAAGGAACGCCCAAAATAGTATTGGTAATCATTTAGGCCCCTATGTTACATCGGCACCTGAACTTCGAGCTTCGGCGATCAAAGCACAAAGCTGCAAGCTAAAACCCAAGAACACATCGACAAAATTTATCATCGTCGTCGTAGCTACCATTGTCACCATGTGGCATCATAGTCATCTTCAGCGTCGTTCTACTCATCGGTATCCGGGCTGTCATTCTGAAACTATGTCAAATTATGTTGGGCCCGGGTCCTGGTACGATAAATGTTGCATCAACTGGCAATGGAAATTTGCTTAAATCACAACACGACATTGCCTAAAAATTATCCAGCAGTCATGCATGTCCACGTGGAAACCTATAATCTCTCACACCTAAAATTCTGAAGCAGTCCTTCGTAGATGTTCTGTCTACTTTCTAGTCATCCTGGGTCGGTCAAAGTTGATCCGTTCAATATTGTAGGATTCTATGCACCCAAAACAAGGATACGTTTTCAGCTGCACAAACCCTAAGCCCCACACCCCAAACCCTTGGGACAGCACTCTGCAACGTCCTGGCTGCTCACGTTGCCCTGGCCCGAGGAGTCTGCCGCGACGAAAAGCTTCCGGATGTCTTCCGCTGAGAAAGCACCTCTCACCGGTTTACGGTTTAGGGTTTAGGGTTTAGGGTTTAGGGTTCTCTCTAAACCCTAAACCCTAAGGTGTGCGGGGTCGGGCTTTAGGCTCTGTGGTTTCAGGGTTTAGGGCTCATGGCCACGCACATTTTTTGGGGTGTAGAGCTCTCAGCTATGACTGGCTGATATGTGTGTATGTATATATATATATATAACTTTCTCTCTAAGCTGAAAAACAACTGAACACACCGACATCAACTGAAGCTTGCATGAGTGGGACATGGGGAGGTAGTGTTTTCAGGTTCAATTTAGGCTTTCCAGCTCTATAAGCCGTAGCGTCAAGTAACTACAGCTACGCTATCTTACATGTGACCCGACTTACCAAGTGGCCTGATCCTTCCAGCAAGGATGGCCTAGCCATGAGGTAACTTACTCTTCAGGCGCTTCTGTTAGCTGCTCAAGACACATATGAGCCTTAAACCCTGTAGATCCTCTTATAATAAACCTAAAACCCTAAACCCTAAACCCTGTAGATCTCCGTGTAATGAATCATTCTAGGATGTATGCGAAGTTGAATGAAACTTTCGATTTGGATCGCAAATACTCCGGCCTTTGAAGATCTTCTTCATGGACCGCTGGAACTCTTCATGCTGGATAACTCCTGGGTTGAAATGCAAGAACTGAAACCCTCAATCCTAAACCCTTCGAAATGAAAAGACAGGCCGGAAAGGCTCACACTAAACCCCTAAACCCTAAACCGCTAAAACCTAACCCGTACATCTTGAGGAAGCCTGCTCGAAGGCGAACGGCATCAACCGACGACTCATAAAATCTCTTTAGGGTTTAGGTTTAGAGTATAGGGTTTAGGGGTTTAGGGTTGAACACATCAAAAGCCAAAGATCTGGGAGAGGCGTTGCCCACGCCTTGAACCCTAAACCCTATAGACATACAGCCGAATACATGAGGAGATATATTCGAGCGTATTCATATATATCAATTAAACCTATAGTAGGATATGTTATAATACATTAGGGAATATATGGGTAGTTCTCTAAATTAGGGTCCCTTTTTTAGGTCCCCAATAGAGTACGGCACCCTTATAAAAAGGACCCCAAAAGGGACCTTAGTTTAGAAAACTGCCCATATTTTCAAGTCCGAAGCCACCCTAAACCCTAAAGTAGGATATGTTATAGTACAGTAGGAAATCTATTTTCATGTGGGTAGTTGTCAAAATTATGGTCCCTTTTGGGGTACCCTAAATAATAGGTGCCGTATTATAATGAGGACCCCAAAAAAGGACCATAATTTAGCAAACTACCCATATTTTCAAGTCCGAAACCACCCTAAACCCTAAACAATAAAACCCTAAACCCTATAGTAGGATATGTTATAGTACATTAGGAAATAGATTACCCTAAACCCTTAAACCCTAAACCCTTTTATTTAGGGTACCCCAAAAGGGACCCTAATTTTGACAACCACCCTTTGGACCTTACCCTAAACCGACCTAAACTCTAAACCTTAAACCCTAAACCCTAAACCCTACCTTACCATATTTTCAAGTCCTTTAAGCCGGAAGTTGCCCAGCTGCCGTCGCCATTGACATCCAGCACTTTGAAGAAGTCCCCGGTGCTTTTGTAGCGTGCCGACATCAAGCCAAACCTTCGGGCTTTTGGGGTTTAGGGTTTAGGGTTTAGGGTTTAAGGCTTAGGGCTTAGGGTTCAG